TTCCTATTAAAATACGTAAATTCGTTGGCCAATATTATTGTCGGAAATAAAACAAAAAAATTTCGATATTTAATGTCACATTCCTTGTCGATAACGAATTGCAGTATTCAATAAATTCCATTTGCATACTTTATGTCAATTACACATAACTAATTCTGATCCTCCTTCATGAGGAATGAATAAATGAACATTACTTTTAATTATTCTGTTTGTTATTTAACTGAGTTTCGATGTAAAGACTTCTTATTAGACGTTAAGACAGTTCCGAGGAAAACTCAGTTGATCGCGCTCGCACTCCGGCGACCGGCTCGAAGCTTTCGCTCTCGCTTCTCGGCGCGCGTAATCCCGGCGCTCTGATTGGTCCGTGTTTTTCGTTAATAACTCGAAAACGACGCTTCAAACCCGATTTTTGCAAAGGAAAATGTTGCTTAGAATCACGTCACCTACCTCCCATTTCAGGGACCTACACGAGTTGTGAGACACCCTATATACAATGAAATGGTCATAAAACTAGCTGTTCGTTCAACCATAATTTTTTCCGAATTGCTTTATTGTCGCAGTAATGAAGTCGGCCGCTGAGTGAGAGATCCGAGAAAGAGTGAGATGTCCGTGAAACCGAAGAAATCATAAATTTTCACGGACGACCGAACAGTTAAGTGGAAAGAGGACAGAACATATATATTTTTTTCTCACTCTGATGCATAGCGATTCTGTCGTTCATTCATCTGATTCTACATCGATTCGTAATAAGCCACTCGCTTCGGTTTGGGCAGTTGCTTGTTACGAATCTGGTATATTATTCCATTCACGAAAATTTACTACTATTGAAAAGAAAAAGCATGCTATGTTCTGTCCTTGTCTAAAGAATAACATCGCTGCTCGACCGATTACTTTATAGTTTACCGCTACCGTCGTCGAGCTCGGGAACAAAGGCAAGCCGAAAATATACCTGATTCGTAACAAGCAACTCGCCAGACCCGAGCGAGTTGCTTATTACGAATCAATACTGTATGTGTTTGTAATCACAATGATCTTTCTCATTAAGGGGGGCAATACCTTTAGACCGTTGAAAATAGGCTAATTTTTGTGAATTTTTTTGTATAGGATATCTTTGTTTTGCATTTTTGAAATTTCACGTATAATTTATTACAACTATTGCCTACTACACAATATTTTTTGTTTTTAAATACATTTAAAAATGGCGGAATTATAACAATCCTTTCTGGAAGTATTTGGGCGTGTCTCGTGAATCGGTGTGAGTTCTAGCTTTAGATATATTGGTCTGAAGCAAGTTTGCAGGCAATATTTCGAAATCTAACATTCACAGTTAGTAGATGAACCTCAGAAATGTGCAAAATGTGTAAAATTAAAGAAATGGCGCGCTTTTAAAAAAAAACTTTGAATTTTACTAAAAATTTTTGCAATATTTTTCAATAAAAAAGGACTTTAATGTTCAATTTATTTCATAAATTTAGGTTCATATGTTAGATACTATTGTCATGGATATGTGCACAAAATTTTAGCGCGATTGATAAACTAGTTTTTGAGTTATCAGCCACACTAATTGTAAAAATGTAGTTTTGAGAAAAACGCGTTTAAAGTTTCAGTCCTCTGTACTGAACGCGGGTATACCGCGGCGCTAATCGGCCATAAATTCAAAAGGGTTCGGTATTTCGGTTTAAAATTTGGAGACCATATTTTTAAGATGTTGCACTAACATTTTATGGAAAAAAAAATTTTCAATTTTTTAAGATTCTAAAGGTATTGCCCCCCTTAACTGCTTAAGTAATACTTAAAAATGCTGGACTGTTGCCTCGAATGTTTTGGATTTCGACAATAATATTGTTTTGTTAATTAAGCTTTAAAAATATGATTTTTTATAAATATTATTGAAACCAAAAAATAATGGAAAAAATAAAGTATGTACTATAGAACTCGTAATTCTCGGCTTCAAAGTTACTGTTTTATTACAATAACACCGGTCTGCGATTTAACCTGAGATTTCAATAGCCAATTAGCTGTTTTGATGTGAGAAATTTAAATGTAAATGTCTATTGTATTTAAGAAATGTCGATTATAAATTTTTTAAATTACTACTTTTACAGCATTGTTTTATAGTACAATGTTCAGAACAAGTTGCTAATATGCAAGTTGCAATTATAACAAATGTTAGCTTGATTAATGATTACTAGTATTCATTCCTATATGAAAAGTTTTACTGTTTTTTCTTATGTATTTTAGTGTATTACAAATAATTAATGTTACCAATAGCAATTCCAGGATCACTGTTCACTAGCTGCTGGATTTCAGCACCTTCATTGAGTATCCTCCAATCAGGGTCTTGTTGAGCAGTACCAACAGGATCTAAAGCTATTGTTGTATATTTTCTAAAATCTGTTGTCCATATTAAGCTGTTATTGGGACAGTTGTCGTTTATATTTTTGACTGTATCGTTATCATTATCCATCCAACAGGCATCACCAACATTTTTATCTAATAGATAGAAGAAATGCAATTACAGTTTATTGTATGTTTTGTTATGTTTCTATCCACTTACAATGAGTATTTCGTTGGCTTGGATTGTATACGAAAGGACAATTATCTTGATGATTTTCTATGCCATCGCCATCTATATCATCATCGCACGCATCTCCTTTGCCATCATGATCAACGTCATTTTGTCCCGGATTTGCTATATCAGGACAATTATCCATATCATCTTGCCTGCCATCTCTGTCTGTATCGTTGTCGTTGTCACAGTCATCACCCACACCGTCACCATCTCGGTCTAATTGATTTGTGTTACGAACATAAGGACAGTTATCACAGGCATCACCTATTCTATCTAAATCTGTATCTGCTTGATTCTGATTTTCCTTCCTAGGACAGTTGTCTGCATCATTGCTGATACCTGTAAAATTAATTAATTTGTAATGTAGTAACACTAGATTACTCGATCAATTAATAAAATTGACTTGCGTTGAGCATTAAGGCAAATGTCCCGCGGACGGGCATCTTGTTTGCATAGATCAGCGTCTGTCTCACTCATGCACCGTAGAAAATTCGACTTTATTCTGTACAGAGTATTTATTACTATCTAAAGCGACCAGAGCGGCCTGTAGGGAAGTCCACTGATGGCAGCCATCAGTGGACTTCTCTACACGCCGGTCTGGTCGCTTTAGATAGTAATAAATACTCTGTACAGAATAAAGTCGAATTTTCGGAGGTGCATGAATGAGACAGACGCTAATTTATGCAAGCAAGATGGCCGTAAGCCGTAAAATATAGTTCAACGATTATCCGATAGCAGTGCTCGTAGTATTTTTCACCTATTTTGACACTTTGGCCAAGTTACCTAGAGCGTCGATAAAAATACGAAACGGTCGATAACTGTTCATAGTTTTCAGAACTGTGCTCGTCATATATTTCATTGCATTATTCATTTGATAACGAATTAAAAATACCCAAATATTTTCAATCGTATCATGTTCTGTTTATATTTCGTATACTTTATCGCAATAAGCAGTATTATTATAAGTGTGGGGTGCGAGATAAGAATTTTTGTGCGGTATAAATTAAAGCGATGTGCGAATGAAGAGTGTTTGGATCGATTACAATGTGAATGAAAAGTATTTGGATCGGGTAACAATTCGTCGTAATAGGAATGCGTGTGTGATTGAATTTAGGGGAGGAAGTGTATCGTGGAGTCAGAATGAAGTGAGGAGTCGAGCGCAAGAGTCGAGCGTGAGAAATTGAAAAGTAAAGTCGTGCGCGAATTGCATCTTGTTCTTTTTCTTATATTAAATACTTTTGTCCTCTAAACCGACATATTTTAGAACGACGCGTAATATATTTTTCATTCCTTAAAATAAAGATTTTCTGAATTGTATTTGAGAAACCTTGTACATAATAATTTTTGACATGCTTTGCTCAAACGCATCCAACGGAATGTTTTATTCTTAACAATTTATCAGAATCGTCGGATCTCATTTACGATACAATAATATGGAATCGGAGAGAAAAAATTCCTATCGGTTGCCGGAAATCGAACCCGGAACCACAAGAATCGTAGTCACCGGTTCTACGCATTTACCCACACAATTTCTTGAAATTTTTGTAAGACGAGGTAGAAAATGATTGTAACGCCAACTAAGTTCAATTTTAAAAATACTATATATTTTCTATAAGCCAATTCCGTGGGCGAAGTAGTGTCCTCGAGAGAAGGATGTCTTTCCAAGATCTCTAAACGAATGCCCTCTTCCCGTTCCGCGAGGTTTCCTAGTCGTCGCGAAACTTGAGGCCCCAGGGTTGTTTTATGGCCCGCATGTCACAGCGTCAGGCCTTTACCCCGTGGTGGTCATCGTAAGACGGCCATGTGCCCGTCGTCCTTGCTTTATTAGGGTGGATCACTGGGAATTTTCTAACATTTTATGTTCTAATAGTCATAATAACGGAATCACATTGCACCGAATTTAAATAACAGAAAATAATATAACACATTATCTCTTACCGACTGTTAATTCGTTTTCTTATTATAAAATATATTTGAAATAATTATGAATAATTATCAAAATGTGACATTAATGCATTAGCTTCTGATGCAAATATCTTTTTGAATTATCGTTATACATTTCTATATCCATAAGATAAAAAGAAATTGTATATAATAGTACATGCGGTGGTATTTAACATAATACTGGAATTATTGTGGATAATATCACGTAACTTAACCCATATTAAAAGTATTACAAAAAAGAAAATTAAAAGAATATAACATGAAAAAACTAAAACCGTTTCCAACAAGCGAGATTTGATCCGGCGCCCTAAAGATTACGAGGCACGAATCAATAATACTGTTGATATCTTTTTTTACGTTTCTGAATATAAGGAGATATGACGTAAAATTCATAAATATGGTTTTTCGTTTTTTATAACTACAGTTTGCAATATAAAAATCTGAAAAAATTCTGTAATGTGCACTATGTGAATCTCAATGTTTTAGAATCTTTTTGGAATTTTTGTACGAGATTAAATAGGCAAAATAAGTCAACAACCGAAATTTTGTTTTTCCCTTTTTATTGCCCCCATGGTTGAAATAAGGGGTTCAAAACTTGGTGTAAGATGTCTTTTTTTTATATGTTATCGACTCTCGTATTGGATATTTCATTTGACTCAAGTGCATTTTTGATTATCCTCTCCCTTTTTCCTCGAGTCGCGCTCGCTGGGATTAGGAAACTTGGCTCGAGCCCGTATTTCTACAATTTGCTTGACGTCTAAAAATAGATTGATAGATATGGCAACAGCGTAACAATCCGGCAACGATGCCTTCGCGTCGTTTCTCTGCCAAAAGGTGGCGGGTAATAGGAATAGGAATAGGTGAGCAATAGAGTTTAGGTATATTTCTAGATCTAGTCGATAGATGACGCGACGCGAGTTGTCTAGTTTACAGATTTTCTATTTCTAGTATTCTCCGTTCATAGACATCGTCGCTTCGATCAATTCGGAGATAAACTGAAACGAGACAGTCCCCTTAACTAAGGTACTAATTGTGAAATACTAATTTGTTTACTACGTAAGTCTAGAACAGAGTCGAACGAATAGGTTGAAAGTAGAGAGACTTGAAGCTTTCACGACCTGGCATCAAACAAGTATTACAGTTGAGGCTTTCAGGTGTAAGCTGTGTCCTAAAAGAAGCGAATTTCCAACGTTTCGCCAGCATTGATATACGCCCAAAGAACAAATTTTTATAATCTTATTCTAGCAATGCTACAGTTCGGGTTGAACTTCTGACTCCTCGGGTTGAGGCGCGTATGCGGCGAGGGTAAGATAGCCGATTTATCTATGTTACCAGGTCGGTTTTACCTCCCGATCGTGTACGGTTTTTAACCGACTTCGAAAAAGGAGGAGGTTACTCAATTCGATCAGTATATATATTTTTTTTTTTTTTTTTTTTTTTTTTCTATGTATGTACGCCGATTACGCCTAGCTGGGTGGACCGATCGGAACGAAACCTTTTGCATGTGGTAGGTTCTGACTCCCCATTGGTACCATTACCAAAAAATTTTTCATTTTTTAATTGCAAAGTATTGTTATTGCAAAACGACCATCAACTTTTGAAATAAACTTTTCTCAATTTTAGTGCGCTTTTAATATC